AAGCATGTAGGATTCAGTGAAGCGTGGTTAGAAAGATAAGACGGTTGTTGTGTGTGTGTGTGTGTGTGTGTGTGTGTGTGTGTGTGTGTGTGTGTGTGTGTGTGTGTGTGTGTGTGTGTGTGTCAAAGGGTTATATCATATACGTACATGAGAGAGAGAGAAGATCCTGATATTGTGTTAGATGATGACTTTTAGTATCAGTTACAGGCAGGTGAGAGAATTCTACCCGACAGGTGCATTACTTTACATCTTGAGGATCTATAACACTGACCCCTTGTTGTTATCAGAGAGGACGGAGCATCGTTGACCTGTACAGTAACCTTGGATAATGGGTTTAAGATAAAGGGATGATTACATTACACTTTTCTTATGAACATAACGTAACGTAATTTAACCTGATCATTTGACGAAGATGGTAAAAAAATGGCATAAAGCAAACGATCGTACAAGTGGAATGACACCGTAGGGAAGAACCCAACATAAGTAAAGGCTTCTTCCCTCGGCCGGTAAAGTACCTGGTGGAGGTGGTGGCCGCCAGGTAAATAAGTTGTATATACCACGGTGAAAACAACTCCCTTCCATCCACCCTTCTATTGAACCTTCTTCACCCCTGTCACTTGCCTTTTGGTTAGTTAATTACCGCTTCTCGTACCATTAACCAAGTAACTTAGGTCTGGTTAGTGTTTAGATGGGTGAAGGCCTGGGAACACCTCATAATGACCCGACTGTTGGCTACCCTAGATCAAACTGACTACTGTATATATCGAATAATAATAATAATAATAATAATAATAATAATAATAATAATAATAATAATAATAATAAAAATAATAGTAATAATAATAATAATAATAATAATAATAATAATAATAATAATAATAATAATAATAATAATAATAATAATAATAATAAAAATAATAATAATAATAATAATAATAATAAAAATAATAATAATAATAATAGTAATAATAATAATAATAATAATAATAATAATAATAATAATAATAATAATAATAATAATAATAATAATAATAATAATAATAATAATAATAATAATAATAAAAATAATAATATCTAAACCTACCTTCCTCTTGATAACTAGAGGGTAAACCTAACGTAAAATACATACGATCATTTCAACTCACCAAAATCCTTAGTTACCGTTCACTACTTCGTAACGTGTGTAGATCTGCTCTAAACGCCCCACAGGCCAACAACACATAGACTACCATAAGCAAACACATTTTAAACCTTCAATACTTTATAAACTTATGAGGAAATAAGTTCAGGAATCACATACGATGGGAAGAACCTATATGACGTCTTCTATTGGAATAATATATGTGAAGGGGAGGAAACGTATGTAAATTACTGGGTGGATGAACGTTTGGGGCCATGGACCAAAAAATTTCATGACTAAATAAATTATTATCCCTTTAATACCCCTGAGAACCTTCCTGTCAGGAGCCTTCAGGTTGGGTTAGGTTAGGTTATTATTATGTTGCTATTTATATAACTTTAACCCATGGCCCAAACATTCTAACCACCATGGCCCAAACATTCTAACCACCATGGCCCAAACATTCTAATCACCATGGCCCAAACATCCTAACCACCATGGCCCAAACATTCTAACCACCGTGGCCCAAACATTCTAACCACCATGGCCCAAACATTCTAACCACCATGAACATTCTGACCATAAAACGTTCCCATGTTAGACATTCTAACCACCACCATGGCCCGTTCTAACACCGTAATTTAACCACCAAACATCCAAACATATTTGGGCTAACCATATTACTTAAGTATGGCGTTCTAACATAATTCTCATTTGAACGTTCTATGGAAGCTAAACGTCCTGACCATCGTCCTATTACCACCATGGCCATTTAAACATTACTAATTTAACACCATCTAAGTAATTTGACATTCTAACCACCAAGTAATTCCCTACCACCATACCAAAGTAAAACCCACCAATTTGGCCCAAAATTTAAATCCACCATGGCCCAATGGTAAAACATCCTAACACCAATTTGAACCCTAATAAATTTAACCACCATTTAAACATCCTAAAAAAATTAACCTATTTGGCATTGAACGTTCCTAAACCATAGCTAAACGTTCTACCACATACCCAAACATTCTAACCACCATGGCCCAAACATTCTAACCACCATGGCCCAAACATTCTAACCACCATGGCCCAAACATCCTGACCACCATGGCCCAAACATCCTAACCACCATGGCCTAAACGTCTTACCACCAAATTACTGACTAACCTCGTCGCCACAAACCAGCGAAGTTGCGTTACCACAATGACATTCCTGTAATCTGACTCAAGTTCGTTATCCTTAAACCGTTTGCCTCCACCTGAAGGTTTGAAGAAATAAGAGATTTTCACATTATATAAAGTTCCTACGTCGGGTTTCCGTCCTGAAGAAGATGCGAGAGACACACCCCCCCCCGACTGTCTAATTTGCAACGATTACCAGATTTGGATGAAATCTCAATAACTCTTCTGTTGAATTGTTTCCCCATAAATAGATAGGTTATGATTGGGTTAACTGAAACAAAAAACACCAAAATATAGTAAGAAAAATGGTGACAAAATTACACTGAGAATTTAGCGTTTATTAGATTCAGTCACGTAACTCTGAATAAAATCAAGGTTAAGTAACTTTTCCAAGAGATTTAGTACCTTGCTATTAACGCCTAACAGTTAATAAGGAAATGTCCCTCATCAAAGTAGAGTCTCAGGGTAATTCTGATACCATTTATACGAGTTCTGAAATCTTCTCTCATGAGTAAAAATTGGTCGTCAAGAACCTTTTAGAATCTGCACCTCAAACAGACCGTAAACTTTGTCGTAAATACTGTATAATGGTTAAATGGCGTGGATATTGCCTTTTTGAATTGCTCTTAAGTGATTATCCGAAGGTAAGGCGAAATGTCGTTATAAACCGTTGGTGAATCACGTATCTTGGCCTGGGTCCAGATTCACATAAACTAAACAAAAAAGACCAGATTCACAAAAACAAAACAAAAAAGACCAGATTCACAAAAACAAAACAAAAAAGACCAGATTCACAAAAACAAAACAAAAAAGACCAGATTCACAAAAACAAAACAAAAAAGACCAGATTCACAAAAACAAAACAAAAAAGACCAGATTCACAAAAACAAAACAAAAAAGACCAGATTCACAAAAACAAAACCAAAAAGACCAGATTCACAAAAAAACAAAAACAAAAAAATTATCTTACGTTGATCTTATTCCTGGCTGGTGTTCAGTGGACGTATTTAATTAAGGTCAAGTGTTAATGTAGTTGGATCACCTGAAGAATATCCAACACAGTTTATTTCACCTAGAGATTAACCACCCTAACCTAAACCTAATCTATATTAACCTAACCTCACCTTATTCGCTCAAAATATCATTAGGGTGGTTAGGTTAGGTTAGGTTAGGTTAGGTTAGATTAGGTGAAATAAACTGGTGTGGATAACTTTTCAGGTGATCCGTATAATCTAATATTCCTTTTGCATTTTAAATCTTCACTCTTCGAACCATTCTAAATCGTATCTTCTTGGCTGAACGACTCTGTTTTCAACGAAGGAATTGGTATCTACACTTTCTTCCTCCTTAATTTATATCATTCTATATCTCATTTATCTACCTCTCCACCTCCTCCTCTCACCTCATCCAGCCCATAAACCCAGACAAAACAACGAACCTCGACGCCGCCAGACTGCCTCAGCCATCGTATGAAACCTTACACCCGGAAATCCTGACTCGTTTGTTTATTTACTTCCGGGAAACGTAATTACTGGATTATTGCGACAGCTAGTAATAATGTATATTCCCTTTGTTCGTAATTCTCTTTACATTGTGTGAGTTTTTTTTTTTATGCCTCTAAATTCTAATTATTGTTGTCTTTTTTTTATGTAAAGGTATTGATGTTTTTTTTTGTTTTTGTTTTTTAGCGATTACTGTTTTGGTTGATGAAAGTTAGCATGTTACCTCTCTCTCGCTCTCTCTCTCTCTCTTTCTCTCTCTCTCTACACACACACACACAATTCATCCCCATGAAAGACAAAACTTCAATAGAGATGACAAAAAAATCTATAATCAATTCCCTCCAGGCAACGTAAGACAGAATCTTCACATCCTTCCCCACACAGCTAATTTACCTGCCTCTTACCTGTGTAATTAACTAACACCACATGTGTATAATCTCTGACAACACGCACTCAGGTTCTGGTGATGCGCCTGAGGAAGATTTAAACCTGTGAACGAGGGTAAAGTGTGTGTGTGTGTGTGTGTGTGTGTGTGTGTGTGTGTGTGTGTGTGTGTGTGTGTGTGTGTGTGTGTGTGTGTGTGTGTGTGTGTGTGTGTGTGTGTGTGTGTGTGTGTTCGTTCATGATTTACCGCCAGTTGCGTTAGACAGCTCTATGTTCGTCTCTCCCGTTTGATTTCTTAACTGATTACCTGAACCACTCCTGTCTGAACCATTAGTCTCTCTGTCTCTCACTTATATCTCCCTTGTGTCTCACCATACGTCTTTCTATCTCCCTTGTGTCTCACCCTACGCTCCTGTCTCTCACTTATATCACCCACCTGTCTCACCTTACGTCTCTCTGTCTCTCACTTGTATATCTTAATCATCTCTCCAAACTACTGATATCTCTCTCTCTTTTCCCATCAGTAGATTATATTATCTCTCCCGGTCTCTCATATTTGGAGACATTATACCAAGGGTGGATCTCATCATCTCTTAGACGCGTGATCTATGGTTGAACTTGTCTCTATTACCCACAAATGTACAAAATTTATCCCCTACATACAGATAATGTCTCCATATATATGTCTCTCTCCCCACCAGTTCAATATCGGTTCAATATCGGTTCTGTGACTCTTAAAACCCACAAAACTAGTATTTTATCTCCAATACAGATAATCTCCTCACGTCTCTCCATTGTCTCTCTTCCCACCAGTTGGAGATCTACCTGGGTTCGGTCTCCTCGTCTCTGAGTGTGTGGTTGACGGTGGCCTTCACAGTGGAGAGGTTCATAGCGGTACAGTACCCCCTCCAGCGACCGACAGTCTGTACGGTACACAGAGCCAAGACCATTATCATGTTACTGTCGGGGTTCAGTGTGACCGTTCATCTGTACGTCTTCGTTACGGCCGGCGTCATCGTTCACCAGGATGAGGTAAAATGGCTTCTGAGTAACGTTTTTTTGAGTAACACTTTATAGGTAATGTTGCCTTGAGTAACGCTTTTTTGAGTAACGGTTTTCTAGTTAAGCTTTTTGGGTAATGCTTCTTGAGTAACGCTTCTTGATTAACACTTGTTTAGTAATGTTTTTGATTGTTTTGAGGAACGCTTCTTGAGAAACGCTTCTTGAGTAATGCTTCTTGAGTAACACTTCTTGAGTAATGCTTCGTGAGTAACGCTTCTTGAGTAACGCTTCTTGAGTAACACTTCTTGAGTAACGCTTCTTGAGTAACGCTTCTAGAGTACCGCTCTTTGAGTAATGTATTTGAGTAACGCTTCTTGAGTAACTCCTCTTAAGCAATGTTTTGGAGTAATGCTTCTTGAGTAACGCTTCTTGAGTAACGCCTCTTAAGTAATGTTTTTGAGTAATGCTTCTTGAGTATCGCTTCTTGAGTAATGTGGCCTTGCGTAACTTAATACAGTATTTATATTTGAGGAAGCACTTGAGTAAGACATGAATGGCTTCGAGTGACACATCAGTAACACATTAATCGCTCTGAGTAACGCTTGAGAAACACTTATTAATGTTTGAGTAACGATTGAATAACACAGGAATGGCCGTAAATAACGTTGGAGTGACCTTGAGTAACACTTAAGTAACACATTGAGTAACCCTCTATCACTGTCTGAAAAGCGCTCGAGCACGACACAAGTACAGCTTTGAGTTACGCTTGAGTGACCTTAAAAACGCTTGAGTGACCTTGAAAGCTTGGGAAACTCAAGAGTGGTATTTTAAATGACACTTGAATAGCGCAACGAAGATCACAGCCACTTAGTTACATCACAAAGAGTTCCTGTTATTTATACGTGATCCTATTCGCTTCTCAGACTTGATACGCTGACTCTCTCTCTCTCTCTCTCTCTCTCTCTCTCTTTCTCTCTCTCTCTCTCTCTCTCTCTCTCTCTCTCCCTTGCTTTTATCAGTTTTATTTTCTTCTTGTCTTTATCTCTTGTTATTTTCTTCCTCTTCTCTCTCTTTGTAACTTTTCCTTACCTTTGTCATTGTAATTTTCGCTTTGTTTTAATCTTAAGTTTTATTTCTTGATAGTCTCTCTCTCTCTCTCTCTCTCTCTCTCTCTCTCTCTCTCTCGCTCTCTCTCTGTTTTCTCCCGTTCACATCTGGCTCAAGACTTTGTCCCCGTTTCTAGTTTCTCAATTGTTTACAGAAGCATCTGGGAGGATATTGTATAAACACTGATTCTTCTTCACTTATATGCTGTTGACTTCTCTGGAGAATGTAAGGACTATAAACACGAAAACCTTTGTTCTTCAATAGGAAATGCAAACCATCGAGGGATCCTGTGAAGAATACCGTGTTGTTGACCCGCCGAAACACTTGAGACATTATTACGTTAAGAGTAAGATGCTGCTTCACGGTGGTCTGTTAGGGTCCATGAGAGCAGCGGGAACAAACTTCAAGTGGTTCTGTGGGAGTTTGTTGATGAGAAGAGTGTGACATGAAAGGTGGTGAAGCCTCGTGTGTGTGTGTGTGTGTGTGTGTGTGTGTGTGTGTGTGTGTGTGTGTGTGTGTGTGTGTGTGTGTGTGTGTGTGTGTGTGTGTGTGTGTGTGTGTGTGTGTGTGTGTGTGTGTGTGTGTGTGTGTGTGTATGTGTGTGTGTGTGTGTGTGTGTGTGTGTGTGTGTGTGTGTGTGTGTGTGTGTGTGTGTGTGTGTGTGTGTGTGTCGGCCTTTGATGGAAGGTGGTGGAGGCTGTTGTCTCTCTTAAACGAGTTTTGAGAGAGTGAGAGAGAGAGAGAGAGAGAGAGAGAGAGAGAGAGAGAAAAGAGAGAGAGAGAGAGAGAGAGAGAGAGAGAGAGAGAGAGAGAGAGAGAGAGAGAGAGAGAGAGAGAGATCCAAGTAACTGATATTAAAGATTTGTTGAATTGAGTGATATATTTTTTTTTCATATTGGAGAAAAAGAAGACTTCCAGGGTAACTGTTTTACCCAAATGAAATATAGTTTAGGATTTCTTTCTACCGCTTCCCACGCACCAGTCAAACGCTCATACGCGAACGCTGCAGTTGTAACAAAGACAATCAGCGTTCGTATTGGCCCTGATTTTTTTTTTTTTTTTACCGATAAACAAACAAGGGTAACTAGGAGAGGTTCATGTTGATTAGGTTATTTATGCCATTTTAACCGGAAACTGCTGGCATTCTTCACGGTCTAAATAACAAGGGGGAAATGGTTTAGCTTTAGTCATACTGAAATGGAAAGGATGAGTCTACAATCCCAGTCCTTTAGTGTGTTTTTAGTTCTCTCTTATAACACACACACACACACACACACACACACACACACACACACACACACACACACACACAATATTAAACCTTCAATTTCGTAAACATTTTGTGCCTTAAATATTTTTTGAGAAATTAAATTAAAGGAAAGTTAATTTGAACTTCGAGAACCAACAGGAGAAAATTAATTACTAAACAACATATTCCTGTACCCAAACTCTCCCAGGTCGAGAGTCACAGAAGTTCGTAATATTAATATTCCTCGTAGCTTAAGATGTGAGGATGGACCTAAATGGCTGAATGAATCCTGAAACATAAAAATTATACATAAACAAAATCAGAATTACACTTTTATTATATACCTTAGTTAGATAAATTTAGTTAATATCAGTTAAGAGATGGAACTTAGGGTATGGAATCTCATTTTATATAAATGACTAGGTGTTAAGTGGATATAGCTAGTTAAGGTAGAGTCTCAGTATGATTTTGTTACCCCGTCTCTTATTTTATTTCAATATTATATTTATGTTTTAAGTTCAGGAAAATCAGGTAGGTGTATCCTTACCAGATATATTATTTCGTACGACCTCGAGGGAATCTGGCTTCAAGTAGATTCCCAAAACCCTTTTATCAAATCCTAATGACGAATATTATTTCCCATATTGTATAATTTCGGTATCTATGCAATCAAATATTCCAATTAATTTCTACTGCAAATAAAAAAATCGCCTTTAATTACACAATGACCCAATTATTTTTTTTAATTATCATGGTCATCAATTACCGTATGGGGGTGGGGGGGGTGTGGCTCAGTAACAATCTAATTATATATTATGAGGAAATAATCACCACACGGCCTCATTATTTCTCATCATTACTATTAATTAACTGGTACATAACACTCAATTTTTTCTGATTTTCTACGTTGTTATGAATGTAATTAATACGTTTATTGACAGTAGTTATGTTCTGTGGGTATCGGCTCTATGGACGGTGTGATTAAGTGTGTTCAGTTCCTTTGACATGACAACTAGGAGAGCTATGTATAGTGTCTGCTAAAGGAGGAATGGTAGTAATGGTATGCTAGTAGTGGTAATTTGAATAATAGAGGTAGCAGTAGTGGTAAGGGTAGTAGTAGTAGTCTTGGTGGTGGTGGTGGTGGTGGTAGTGGTGGTGGTAGAAGTATGGATGGTGGTATTAGTAGTAGTGGTAGTAGTAGTGATGGTAATAGTAGTAGTAGTAGTAGTAGTAGTAGTTGTTGTAGTAGTAACAAACAACAACAACAACAACAACAACAACAACAACAACAACAACAACAACAATAACAATAATAATAATAATAATAATAATAATAATAATAACAATAATAATAATAATAATTATAATAATAATAATAATAATAATAATAATAATAATAATAATAATAATAATAATAATAACCACCACCACCACCACCACCACCACCTATCATTAACTACCAACAATAAAACATTCCGACAGCATCAAGACTTTCACTGAAATAAAAACACCTCAATTCGTGGTATTCTGTGTGTGTGTGTGTGTGTGTGTGTGTGTGTGTGTGTGTGTGTGTGTGTGTGTGTGTGTGTGTGTGTGTGTGTGTGTGTGTGTGTGTGTGTGTGTGTGTGTGTGTGTGTGTGTGTGTGTGTGTGTGTGTGTGTGTGTGTGTGTGTGTGTGTGTGTGTGTGTGTGTGTGTGTGTGTGTGTGTGTGAGTGTGTGTATGTGTGTGTGTGTGTGAGTGTGTGTGTGTGTGTGTGTGAGTGTGTGTGTGTGTGAGTGTGTGTGTGTGTGTGTGTGTGTGTGTGTGTGTGTGTGTGTGTGTGTGTGTGTGTGTGTGTGTGTGTGTGTGTGTGTGTGTGTGTGTGTGTGTGTGTGTGTGTGTGTGTGTGTGTGTGTGTGTGTGTGTGTGTGTGTGTGTGTGTGTGTGTGTGTGTGTGTGTGTGTGTGTGTGTGTGTGTGTGTGTGTGTGTGTGTGTGTGTGTGTGTGTGTGTGTGTGTGTGTGTGTGTGTGTGTGTGTGTGTGTGTGTGTGTGTGTGTGTGTGTGTGTGTGTGTGTGTGTGTGTGTGTGTGTGTGTGTGTGTGTGTGTGTGTGTGTGTGTGTGTGTGTGTGTGTGTGTGTGTGTGTGTGTGTGCGATGTTTCTTGTTCTGTGTCATTCCTTTTATCTTTCTCTATTTCTCTCTTTATCTCATCTGTTTTCCTGTCTCTTTATTCCTCATTCTGTCTGTCTGTCTGTCTGTCTGTCTGTCAACACGACTCTGCAAGACACGATATCACCATTAGACATATATATGGTCACTAATGATGGATAATTCCTTAAACTCACTGCAGTTTCTTAATCAATGCAGTTAACAAGCTAATTACCAGGTTCATTAACAAGGAGAATTTCCCCTAATGTGGCCGTGTTATCACCCATTAAGTAAACACTGTGTATTATTATTATTATTAGTAGTA